TAGCTCCATTCTGTTCATTTCTGAGTAGATCCTCTCTCTCGTATTATACTTCCTTTTACTTGAGTCCATCAGAGTTTCTGAACACCCTCCACACGCCGTGACTCCATCCTTGCGCTACTGTCCAAGAACATTCTAGATACAAGGTTTCTGTTGGGATTAGAACATTCCAGGCCCGGACTGAACCCCATGTCCATGTCACGTGGCCCTCATCTGACCCCCCATCATCATTGTCTGCTGTGGGGGCCGCCATGCCCTGCAGTGACATCATCATGTTAGGTGAGCCTCCAGGGCTGGGTGGGCCATTTGTCTCCCCTGCATCATCCTCCTGGACCCCCAGGGGACATCATCCGGTGCTGGGGCCCATTCATGCCTTGGCCCTGAATCCTGGTGGCCGCATTGAGTTTGTGGCCAGGGTTGCCCATTGGCATGTCTTTGGGGGCCCAATTCCCCACCAGGGCCCCCTGGCCATCCCCCATCCCCTGCATGGACATCCCCATCCTCGGTGGACCGTCGCCCATCATGCCCTGCATGGGGAAGCCAGTGGGGTGTGGTGGTTTTACCCCAGGGTTGTCTCCTCCACCTCGGGGAAAGTAAGACAGAGTCTGGCTGGGCTTCTCCGACGGGATTATCCTGGACAGGTCGAACTCAGGAATGCCGGATGCTCCCGGCCGCATCACCTCATGAAGGTCTGCATCACTGAATCCACCTTGCATGTTGTTGAACTCTGGCCCTCCAGGGGTATTAGGCTTACACATACCCCCATCACCCCCTCCCCCATGAGGCATGTTCCCCATCCGTCCTCCCATAGGCCCTCCCTCTCCCTGGAAGCCCATGGCATGGCCAGGGAAACCTTGGGGACCAGGACCGTTGTGCGGTGAGAAAGGGCCTTGCTGGGAAGGGGACTGGGTGAGGGGGTACGCCTGGCTTCGGTGAGGGTAACCCATGCGTCCTTGGGGCATCATCTGTGGGTTTCCCATACCAGGGTCTTGGGGATTTGGTGGTATCATCATGCCATGAGGCATCATGCCTGGGCCCATATTAGGGGCATTGGGGGAGGGCATCTGTGGGGGCATGCCATGGGAGAGGGGCTGGGATCCCATTGGATTCATACCCAGAGGGCTGAGGGCAGACATGGGTCCAGCATTTCCAGGTCCCATCATACGTGGATTGCCTTGGTGATTCATTGCCATACCTGTATGTGCAAGACAAAAAGAAATGATTATATATTCAGTAAAAGCTCTTGTGAAGCAGATGAAAGGGACATTAGAATAAACATGGCCACAGGTGGACGACAAATTAAACAACAAAAAGGAAAACAATTACATTTTAGATGTCTTACCATTATTGTTCACTGATGGCAGGTTAGGGGAGCGGGCCGGGGGCGAGTCGTCATCAGAGCTGGCAACAGTCTTTATGGCATCATGGTAGAGTGGGGTGGAGCTGGGCATTGCAAACTTGGACATGCGTGACATCATAATGGAGAGAGGGTTCTGTGATAAAGTTGGCTCTGGGGGTATGGTGTACGGACTGCCAGACGGGACGTTGCCTGGGAGGGACATGGAGCCAGATGGAGCCCCTGATGAAGGAGGGGCTGACGGAGGACCGTTTCCACCTAGAGGATGACATGATGAGACAGAGATGACATGATAAAAACAATCTGCCACAGAATGAAAAGTCTCAACTGCTTTGTTTTATCTGTGATGATACATAGCAATAGTGTGTGGTACTCAGTAAGACTTCAATTATGTAGCCACAAGAGGGAGCCACTGGACCATAACCCACCCAACCCCACCCCTCATACAGATGTGTTAACTTGAATGAGTGATGCACTTGATAGCTTCAACTAACGTCCGTCTATTTTAGTTTCAGTTTTTAGTTTTGTAAACTGATTCTGATAGCAAAGGTCTAAGAAGGGCCCAAGTCAGACAGTCTAAGTCAGGTATTGTATGTGATATTAACAATAAAAGATTATGACTACAAAATCAATACAAATAAAATTAAACACCAAACCATTCACAAAACAAATCCCAATACTAATGGAATGGGATTTAATGAAGGTGCACTGAATCAAGATGGGGAATTAAATATTGAAAGAAGCTGCACAGGCACTCAAAGAAAAAGGAGGTAAGATTGTTATACCTTGCTCCATGCCCATCATGTTCGGTGAGGTGATACTGAGGGGAGGTTTGCCACCCTGAGGTGGTACACCGGGACTCTGCATGGGTGGTTTTGGCGAGGAAGCCCATCCTGGGGAGGGGTTAGGAAGAGAGGGAGACCTCATATGAACAGGAGAGGCACCAGCTGATCCCATCATGGAGTGGGGCGACTTCATTGGTGCTGAAGATGGAGGAGCTGGTGGAGCACTGGGGCCCGTGGGACCAGTGAGCATGCCAGCCAGCTGGGACGGTGTCTGAGGGGATTTAAGGTTTCCAGAGGGAGAGCCCATCATGGGGGACTGCACTTGCCTTAGAGGAGGGGACTTAAGTGGGTTGACACTGGGAGAGTTCCCTCCTCCTGCTTGGACATTCAGATCTGCTGGCTTGCGGCCCCTCTGACCTTGTGAAGGGCCACCAGCAGAGGGGAGGTGGTTAATACGGCCATTACCTCCTGTTGGTGTAGCTCTGTGCTCTGGTCCAAAGGCTTGGTCTCCATGTGGACCCCTCATTCCTCCAGGACCACCTGGAAAGGGCCGCCCCATAGGAAAGTCTCCTGGCTGTGTCTGCTCAGGGAAGGGAGGACCCTGCATAGGCCTGCCTTGAGGACCCATATTCTCCATTGGAGGTCCTCCACCACCTCTCATTCTCATCATCTCATCAGGACTCATATTCATGCCGGGATCTCGTAGTTTGGAAGGGTGCATATGAGGTCCTGGCCCAGGGCCAGGCCCCATGCCAAACTCAGGCCCCATTTCCCTGCCCCCCATTCCTTGAAGCCTAGAGGATGGACTCATAGGACCATCACCAGGCATTCTGGGAAATATACCCATGCCATTACCAGGTTCCATTCCACCTCTTTGGTGCCCCATCATCCTTTGCATGTCCATCATCATCCCAGGAGGGAGGACCTTTTCTCCACCCATACCTTGGTGGAACATTGCTTCTTGGACTGACTGAGGATTTGGGAAACGCTCACCACGACCCCCTGGTCCAGCAAACATTCCCCCAGGTCCTCCAGGGAAGCCTCGTGCATCTCCCATGCGGGGAGGCATGTCGTCAGGCCAGCCCATTCCAGGCCTTGGGGGTCCCTCCATTTCAGCATTCATCATACCAGAGAAGCCAGGCATCCTCTGCATATGTGTAGGCATACCCCTTGGGCCAGGGCCAGGGCCCATGCCCATGCGATCCTGGAAGTGGTCTGGTGGACCACCTGGTCCTCCCCACATCTCTCCTGGGCCCATCTGATAGGGAGGCGGGGGCCCTCGCATCATGGCACGTGGACCATGGGCATGCATCATCATGTCTGGAGGAAGTGGCCGGTGTTGCATTTCTTGTTTCTTCCTCTTCTCTTCATAAAACTCCTGCTGTAGCTTCAACCAAGCCACCTGTTCTGGCGTCATCTGATCTCCGTCTCCACAGCCCCCCGGCCCCCCCATGTGTGCACCCATTTCATCTTGTGGAAATGGGGGCATGTCCCTGGGACCATGGGATGGGCCAAAGGGTGGACCTTGTGGGCGAGGTCCTCCTGGCCCACCTGGCGGTCCAAGGCTCTGCGACTGCGCCATCATTGCTTGTAGGGGGCCCTGCTCAGACCTACGGGGTGTGCCATCAGGGCCTCCATCATGGGGTCCACCATGGGACTGTGGGGGTCCAGCTGGTGGGGCATCACGGTCATCAGGGAAAAGCATACGCTGAATATCTCTCAAGGTTTGCAGAGAGCGCTGGCGATGCTCCAACTGTTCTTGGGACAGACCCTCTGTGTTGGCCTCCATGTTCAACAGCTCCTGGGCCAGTTGCTGCTGTTGTTGCTGCTGCTGGGGTGTCAGACCCGCTCCACCAGAGCCTCCACCCTGCCCTCCTTCACCTGATGTCGGAGGGTTGAGGCCTGCCTCAGGTTGGGTGACAGGGGCCTGGTCAACTGGGGCGGTAGTGTTACTGGGGCTGCTACCAGGAAGATTTTTGGATTCCATGCCTGTAGAGGATGACCCTTCCTGCGGAAGAACACCAGACTGGTTCCCTTGGGTTGAAGGCTGGGATGGGGCTGACTCTGCCATGCCAGGTAAGGACGGCTTGGATCCAGGCTGGTGGCTCTGATCTTGGGCATGGGAAGGTGGTTGCTGGGGAGGCTTGGAGTCATTTCGGAGGGCGTTTGCTGCATTGTTCTTTAACAGAAAGGGACAGAAATAGGATTAAGTTATGACACTCTCATGCAACATGTTGGTGTATGAATGCATATGTATGTGATAAAAAAAAGAGCCTGTCTGTGTCTTTACCAGAAGGAGGTGAGCTTTGTCCTTGCTGTTGGAGATGTTTTTCATGTGGAAGGCAATGATGTTTTCTGTATGGCCAGTTAGAACTGCATCAGCTGCCCTGAGGACAAGAAGGCAGACAGTCAGATATCAGTCATCAGACACAATAAATATATGTGTGTGTGTGTGTGTGTGTGTGTACGTATGTATGTGTGGATCTGTGTGTGCGCATTTGAGGGACGGTGAGGCGGATGAATGAGTACTAGATGGGACCATGAAGGTAAAACCAAGGTCAACAAACTAAGTAAACCTTGTGCGCACACACCTTCTACTGTGCATCCACATCTTTGATCTTTAATTCCCAAAAGAGTATTAATCTAAGCGTTAAGTGTATGCTCCCACTGAGCACATTTGCTAGTGCAGATACACACAATGGATTTAGGCTATAACTGGGAAAGCTGGGGGAAGGAAGAGACGGGGTGGGAATCAAGTATCTTAGTGCCATGCACACAAACAGCTGAAAAAAAAACATCAAAGACAACAACCACCACTGGTGACGGGGCACAGAGATATCCTTCAGGCAATTGACATTGTTAGTAATTCCATTTAATTTTGAACTGCAATTCCACAAAGGGTTTCTCTGTGGGTGTATGTTTTGCTTATGTAAAAAAAGAAAAAAAATAAGGTCTAAGTATTGACACGGTGATTTAATTTGTCTGAACACATTAATATTCCAAACATGCAGTGATAAGCTTTGACCATAAATTATAATCATAACTAAAAAAAAACTACACATAAATGTACCATATATCATATACATATAAAATTTGGATATTAAACTACGCCTAGAGAGGGAAATGTCTGCTACAATAGTATAGAAGATACTAGCCACAACAGGTAAAAATAGTAACTCTTTGCTTCCTTACTTGTTGGCCATCTCTGTGGTGAAGACATAAACAAGTTTTGAGCCTGGTTTCTGGCCACTAGGAGGTTCTGTTGTGGAGCCCTGGCCTCCCAGTGTATTGTGGGAGGGTGTGGAGGAACGACTGAGTCCGGCATTGGAGGTAGAATGTGTGACCGAATCCTGGGGCTTCACGTCACTGGAGTTGCAGTCTACAGGGAGACAACAAGGAAGACCATGGCTTTAGGACCAGCACAGGCTTATGGGCACTGTAGTTCTACTGAGGAGCTGTCGTAAGTCAAGTTGATCAGCAGGAGGGACATCTACACATGCTTGGATGCACATGTTAACACACTTACTGAAGAATCCTTTGTCATCTTCGTCACTTTCTCCCCCAGAGCACCAGTCAGCTCCACTGTACGGCTGCCTCCTTTCTGCCACACACATCCTCTTCACCCTGCTGCTGTCTGTACACACACACACACAC